CTTACATACTTACATAGAGAGCATATGTAAGTAATAATTCTACTGTTGTTATTATTGTTGTTGTTGTTAAATATTACATGACATATACAAATCCCCTTTTGACATATGACAATGACCGATGTCAATCATCATCCATAGTGGTGTTGTCATTGTTGACATATAAGTACTTTGTCATCATTATTATTATTATTGTTGTTGTTATTATTATCATCATCAGCAGAAACAACAGCATCATTATTGTCCAATCAGAAGATAGATGGATAGTAGGCTGTCAGGTAAATAATTCAATAAAGGGACTATGGAAGAAGAGAAGATTATGTTTCAAGGACCATTTAAGGTTTAAAAAAAAAAAGATTTTAAAAATTATTTTTTCAGAAACTATTGTACGTGCGTATTGTTATAGGCGAATAGGCGGAGATATTATAACGAAATTTTTGAAGAGTCACAATAGACGAATTTAAAAAAAAAAAATATTTGTTCAAGGGTCATAATAGGCGCGGAGTATTAAAAGAATATTTTATAAAGGACCATCTAAGGTGTAGATTTTTTAAATATATTTTTTCAAGATCCTACAAGGCGTGGGTTTTATACCCTTCACCAAACTGTGGTACAGGTTATTATGTCTTTGTGCATATGTTTGTAACAGGCAAAAGAAAATGATATAGACACATGTTTCCTTTTGAGAATATGCATAGAATCACTTTTTATGTCGATTTATGCATGTCCGTCCATCCGTCTGTCTGTCCATGTTAAATTGTAAACAATGTACAGGTCGCATTTATGTTTCGAATTGGATGAAATTTGGCAAAGGTCACTTATTCGGCCCAAGGACGAACTCTATTGATATTGGAAAAAATCGGTTCCGATTTAGATATAGCTCCCATATAAATTTTCGTCCGATTTTTGGTAAATGGTGCACCAAAGCCCCTATATATCATTCGATTTGTACGAAATTTGGCATAGCGTACTGAATTAAGTGTACAAAGATGTGTGTTAAATTTCGTGGAAATCGGTTCAGATTAAGATATAGCTCCCATATATATATTTTCGTCCGATTTTATGTAAATGGTGCACCAAAGCCCCTATATATCATTCGATTTGTACGAAATTTGGCATAGCGTACTGAATTAAGTCTACAAAGATGTGTGTCAAATTTCGTGGAAATCGGTTCAAATTATCGAATAGATATAGCTCCCATATATATGTTCGTCCTATTTTAGGTAAAAAGTGCACCAAAGTCCCTAAATATCCTTCGATTGGCACGAAATTTGGATGTATAAGTAAATGGAGAACTCAAAATGTAGCCGAATGCACAAAACATAATGAAATAAGTGTAACCTAACATGTGTCAAGTTTCGATGGAATCGGTTTAGATTTCGATACTTTGCTTTAAATTTTTATACCCTACACGACTATGTTGTCAGGGTATTATAGCTTTTTGCAGCTCCAGGAGTTTGTAACGCCGCGAAATATTGGTCCTAGACCCACCTTTAAGTATACCGATCGTCATATCTCGACTAGCTGAGTCGATCTAGACATGTGTGTCCGTCCGTCTGTCCATTATATTTTGTAAACACGATACAGGCCACAGTTATGGACCGATCTTCACCAAATTTTGCATGTAGGATGGGTTCTGGCCAATGAAGACCCCTATTGGTAAAGATCGGTTAATATCTAGGGGATGAAATGGAGCAAATACGTAATTTTTATCGGTTTTTCTGGTCGCTCTATAGGCCGCAATTATGACCCAAACATCGCGAATTTTTACATAAAGAAGGGGATCGGGCCAAAGAATAAGCGTGCCTGTTTTGATAAGGATCGGTCAATATTTAGCGGGTTAATTAGAACCTGACATTTGTGTGAAAAATTACAAAATTTTTATTCTATAGCGTATAGATTTACCCCTGAAGAACATAGACCCGAAAAGTTGTTGGTGGTTGACCTTTAAATTGATACCAATTATATGGTCGTATGTACTCAGATGTGGGAGTTACACTTAAATATTTAAAGGTTCTTATGTATTCAGATATTATTTAATAACCCTTCTTAAATATATTTTTTCAAGACCCTACAAGGCATACATTTTTAAGAGAATATTTTTCCAAGACCCTACAAGTCATGGATTTTTAAAAAAATATTTTTTCAATGACTATCCAAAGCGTGGATTTTTAGAGGAATATTTTTTTCAATGACCATCCAAGGCGTGGATACTTAAATGAATATTTTTTCATAGGCCCTACAAGGCGTCAATTTTAAAATTAATATTTTTGGAAGGATCATAATAGGCGTGGATTATTGACGATTTTTTATGAACAATGGGATTAATACTTTATGGGCTCTCCGGTAGATATTTCTCGGCCTCCATGAAGGGCACAAAAATCTGTCCTACCTTTAGCCAGAAATCCATTATCCCTTATCCTTGTTTATTGATTTTCTTTCTTTTGAAAAAAATGTTCCCCTGTAGTTGTCCCCATGGGCCATAATGTGCGCTTAAAGTGATGTGTCACGACGGCACAGAAGATGACAAACCACTTTAAGGATTAATTTAAATTTAACATTATAACACAACAACAACACACACACCCACCCATCCATACATTGTTGCGTCCATGTAAAGTCGCGTGTGTGCATATGATAGGTTTTTGTTGTATTTTCGTCCTTTCTTGCATCCATATCACGCACACAAACGCGGCGCGGCATCATGCATGTGGCACGCCGCACACACATACACCCAAATCATTTGGTACTCAGTTGAGTTTTCTTTTTAGCCATTGTTGCTCTTGTTATTGTTGTTGTATTATTTATGACATGCACACAACATGTTTGTATGAATGACGCCTGCAGCCGTATTTTTTTATCGTCATCCTGACATATCCATCTGCATGTTGTCCTTTACAAAGGGAGGACTGGTTGGTTGACAGCCTGGTTGTTCGGTTGTGTGGATGGATGTTTGAGTTTATTATTACAAAATAACACACTATTGTTGTTGTATGCCATTACCTCATCATTACATATTCCGTCATCAAAATAAGTGAAAGGAAAAAATGCGAAGCAGGATTTGTGAGAAATGGCCATTCGTCTTATTGTCCTGGTTTTTGCGAAGTGGAACACGAATATGTCACCGTTTTAATTTTAAAATAAAATATGGAATTTCAGATAAATTGGTCTTGGTCACGTGGATGTAAAACCAGGTTAATTTTGTTTGAGAACCTATAGGAAATCGGTTATTTTTATACCCCTTCACCACAGGCCCAATCCTTAATCTGAATAAAATTCTATATGACGAAGTGCCGGTAATAAGGCATTCCGGATTCTTGTAGGACAAAAAAACATGTTTTCGATTTTGGTCCATGTTTAGAAATAGTCTTCATTTAATAGAAATATCGCTCCATTTTCGGTATTTTGGGAGCTTTTATCTGCAATTTTTTCTTCGAAGTTACTGTAATTTGGCATTCCGGGTTCTTGTAAGGTGAAATAAATGTTCGCAAGGAAATGTTCAATATATGTAAAATTTTTGAGGTTACCCCATTAAAAAGTTCCGCCTTATTTTCGGTACTTTGAAGATTCGAGCCATTTTTTCTACCGAAGTAGATTTATTGGAAAATGAAAAAAATCTTCGAGGAAAATTTTCGACATAGATCCATGTTTAGTCATAACTCCCATATAAAAGTTCCGATCTCTTTTCGATCGTTTTCCAACCGAAGTGGTTGAAATTTAACATTTCGGGTTCTTGGAAAATTAAAAAATCTTCGCGGAAAATTTCAGATATAGGTCCATGTTTTGACACAGCTCTCATTTACTGGTTCCGAACCATTTTCTAAATTTTGAAGGTTTTACCAGCATTTTTGTCATCGAAGTAAGGTTTTTTTGGGGGATAAAAAATATCTTTGCAGGAAATTTTCGACAGATGTCGAATCCATGTATCCAAAGAAGTGGCTGTGCTATGACTTCGATGTCCTCGTAGGGCAAAACAAAATTAAAAAGTCGATATAGATCCTTTTTGAGATAGCCCTCTCATATAAAGGTCCCGTCAGATTTTCAGCATTTTTGTTTTTGAGGTTTCTTGAAATGTGGAAAACATATTTGCAGAATCGAAGTGTTCCGCCTTATTTTTGGCATTTTTAAGGTTTTAACCGCATTTCCCAAACAAAGTAGTTGTAACCTCACATACCAGGTTCTAGAAAGGTGAAAACATATTCCCAGAAAATGTCATATATAGGAATATGTTTTATACGTGGACCGCATACAATTTTTTTAGGGTTTTAGGAGGGTTTCTTGGAGGGTGGAAACGCCCTGTGTAGATAATTTGTGATATAGGTCAATTTATAGGACCTCCCCATTTTTGGTATTTTGAATGTTTTAGACGCCTTTTCTTACTGAATTAGGGTTTCGGAAGGATAGGATCACATTTTGAGGTATCCCTCCATGGATTTTAGCCGCATTTTCCCATCGAAGTGGCTGTATGATGACATTGTGGCTTCTTGGAAAGTCGAAGCCCACTTCGCAAAAACAAATTCAATACGAGTTCATTATGGATCCAATCGTATTTTCGATAGCTTCATTGCGTTACCCTTACTGTAATTTTGTTTCGGGTTTTTGAAGGGCGAAAACATTTTTCAAGAAAATATCCGACATAGGCCCACTTTATGGATATGACCGCAGCTGTATATTCCGGATCCTTGGAGAGTGAACCACACCTTCCCAAAGAAGTTTCGGCATTTTTAAGATTTTAGTTGCATTTCCCACCTACGTAGCTACAATTTGGAGTTCCAGGTCCGACAATATTCGGTAATTTGAATGGTTCAGTAGCATGTTTCATCGAATTAGCTGTTATTTGGCAATCAGGCTTTATGGAGGGTAAACATGGACCCCATAATAGACCCCTAAATATTTGGTATTTTAAATTCGGACTGATCGAAATTAACGACATTTTTACTATGTTTGAAATTGACCTTTTATTCAAAATATATAATCTATCCGAAATCTCTCACTACTTTCAGGTCCGCTCGGCCTCGTTCGATGAAATGCAACTGGAGTCACAACGAATGTCCTCGCACTTCCTCAAACAACAATCCTCTTCAGATGAACGTTCCTCCGATGGCGGCTTTCTCCAGGTACCACAGGTCATGCATGCCCAACGGTCACATTCCTTCGATTCAGCGGCCGCCTCAGCGGGCAGTGATGATTCGGGTACCTTTCTCGAAGTACCACGTCGTGGTAAAAATAGACGTAGTTCCTCATCAAAGACTCCACCACCCTGTATCCACTGTTTCTATCTCGAGGAATATGAAAAGCAAATGCGGGCCCAGCAACGCTATCTGCTCGATCATCATGAAATGAAAAGCTATAGCATGACTAGTTCCGAGCTCAGTGATGACAATGAAGATGAAACTGCCGAAATCGATGAAGATCTTGTCGAGGAGGAGGAGGAAGAAGAGGAGGGTGGACAGGCCACCGATCGTGATGGCCTGTTGGGTGATGAAGGTGATGCCACCGATGACGATTTGTTAAATGCCTGCCCCGACGATGACAAAAACAGTGTCGAGACGCTGGATGTGTACGACGATGCGGCCCTCGAAATGGATATACGTCTGGGCGGTATGGTCACAAGTAGTATAGATGAGACACGTGCCCGCTTGCCGCGCCAAATGCGCCGTCATACCATCGGTAGTTCGGTGACCACATCCGAGGATGAGGGTCTCGAAGAGTCCGAGCATGATTCACCACATTTCGGTAATACATTAATGCCCCCGCCACCCACGACACCCTGCGGCATAACATTCACGCTGTCCCCGACCAACGGTGATTACCCGCCTTTTCCCTCCGCCTCCCCCTACTCCTTCCCCATTGATCCGGGTTCACCGCCGGCATCGCCTTCATTTGCTTTATCGGTGTGCGGGGACAGTCCCGTCATGGAATTGCCACCGCCACCGCCCATATCACCCCTAGAATTACTGCCACAAGCGCCATCATTCGATGTAACTTTGCCACCACCACCAGCCTTCAGTACCGATGACTTTTCACCTGCCATTACTATCGCCTCTGCTGTTGTCGATGGATGTAGCCTAACGGCGGCAGCGACTATGTCGGCGTTAGGTCATGATGACATGCCGCCGCCGCCATCGTCACCATCTGCAGCAACGCCATTAGCATCACCCAGTCAAAGACCACGCCGACGTTCTATATCCCGCCAAGAAGCTATATTTGTTGAACCCACAGGTAATTCGCTGGAAAATGTGTCGCAAGAGGAACAACTGAAATCCTCGGGGGATGGAGGAGTGAACTCCTCGATTGATGAGATTTCCACACTGGCCATATGTGGGTCACCGGCACCACCAGTCGGGGGTGTAGCAACCGCCTCTACCCCAGCCAGCAAGCATGCCTTGGTTGTGCGTGATATTTATTTAACAGTACCTGATTTGAGACGTGATCGTGCCGCTTCGGTAGATTCGTGTTTTTCCAAAGTATCATCGGGCAATAAAACGGAAGAGCTGCAACCGAGTGATGGTTGTTTCCTGACCGTACCCAACATCAATGCAACACGTTCACGTTCGGTGGATATTGTGCTGCCAACGGATGAGCAGGCACGTTACAAGGCATTGGCAATGGCCGGTACCACAGCGGGGATATATGGTGAAGGGTAAGTATTGAGAAGGATGAGATGTGGGAGTGTGTGTGTGTGTTTCTGTTTGCATGTGTGTTCTTTTGTTATGTATTATTTTGTTGTAGTTACTTTGTGGTTATTTTGTTTCCGTTTCCACTTTTTATTCTTCTTGCTCAACATGCTGAGAGATGATGTGGTTTATTGGGGTAGAGGGTTTGGGTCTGTGTTGTGTCTTTTTTGCCTAAAGGAATTTGTCGTTTTCAGTCATCGTGCCTGACATCAGTGGGGTATGAGTGTGTGTGAGGGGTTTCCCTTCATGGCTTCATTGTTGTTGTGTTTGTTTCTTTACAGCTTTCACTTGTGGTCAAAACTTTAAAATTTTAATTTCCTCATAATTTATTAAAAGACATTTTGTGTCATGGAGCCAACCGCCAGGCCGACCCATCAACCGTCATTTGACGTTGGCTGAAAAGACAAACTTTTTCCCTCCATGTTGATGATGGCCAACTTGTAAAAAATTAATTCTTAAATTATCCAGGGGTTCCTTTTTTTGTTCGATGGAAAATAAGTTAACGTCATTATTTCGAGACATATTCTTTGAGGTCATTTGTTGTCTTTTCTTCTGCTGTTTTATCGAAAAAATTGCTTTAAACTTTTCTACAAAGTCATGTTCTTTATGTCTGACATTACCATGTAATGACATATCATTACTTCTAGCATGACTTCAGGTCGAGACCATAATGAAGTAGTTAAAAGTTTTGTCCGCGAGAGAGTGAGGAGAATTTTTCAATTTAGAAAAATGTGACCCTTGAGGAGATTTCGAGCATATGATTGGCAATATTTCTGGTAACTGGAACAATTATTTAAAAATTTTAATTAAAAAGTTTCGAAGGATTTGTTTCATGAGCGTTAAAGTCTTCTTTCAATAACCCTAACCTGTTAAATGATTCCAGGTGACTTTCTACAAGTACCTCAGACAATATATGTATGTATGTGCCTAATTTTTTTCTTAATTTTGTTTCTTATTTTGAAATACCAAAGCAGAATTTCCTATCCAAAAACTCTCAACCCATAAATGCTCCTTAAGTGAGGGTTTTTTTTAAGGCAGATTATTGAATTTGCGTACAATAATAAAGAAGTAAGGAAAGTAGAAAAGTTCGGACGGGACCGGCTATATGATACCATTCACCACTTGGGTATATTCAATAGATGAATCCTAACAGACGTCGCATTTTTAAAAGAACAGTAAAATTAAATTGGATCCATAAACATGTCATTCTGCAACCGATACTAAAGTTTTCATTTGGCCAGATATAGAAGCTATATCTAAACCTGAACGGATTTTCACGAAACTTAACACACATCATTCTAGACCTAATTCATTACGCTGTGCCAAATTTCGTGCAAACCGAAAGCTATTAAGGGACTTTGGTACACCATTTACCTTAAATCGGGCGAAATTATTTAAGAGAGCTATATCTAAATCTGAACCGATTTTCGGGAAACTTAACACACATCATTCTAGATTTAATTCATTACGCTGTGCTAAATTTCGTGCAAATCAAATTATATTAAGGGACTTTGGTGCACCATTTACATTAAATCGGACAAAAATGTATATGGGAGCTATATCTGAATCTGAACCGAATTTCAGGAAACTTAACACACATCATTCTAGGCCTAATTCATTACGCTGTGCCAAAATTCGTGCAAATCGAAATATATATAGGGACTTGGGTGCACCATTTACATTAAATCGGACGAATATATATATGGGAGCTATATCTAAATCGTGCTATATCGTTCGTCCTTGGTCCAAATAAGTGGCCTATGCCAAATTTCATTCAAATCGAATCATAAATGCGACCTGTACTTTGTTCACAAATATACATGGACAGACGGACGGACATGCGTGAATCGACTCAGAAAGTGTTTCTTTTCATATTCTCAAAAGGAGTCATGTATCTGGTTTCCTTTTGCTGTTACAAACATGTGCACAAATACACAATACCCTGTACCACAGTGTGGTGAAGGGTATAAAAAACTAGTGAGGGGCGGAAAAGTATAGTTGGACGGGGCTAACCATATGATTCTGCCTGGGCAATATTTTGCCATATTTACACCCTCTTGAGATATTTACACCCTCTTGACAGCTCTAATTTTAAATCCTGACATATTTCCCAAATCCTGTTTTCTCGGGATGAATATTTACGCCATAAAATACAAATTTGGTCACCTTAGATTTTGGTTGATTTGACATTCGTAATCTTGACCGATCATCATCTAAACAGTCGTTCCTAAGTATTTGGTCTTATCTCCTGCACCGTGTAAATTATGTGAGAGCAACTAAAAAATCTGACAAATATAAAGTTTTCGGTTCATTGCACCTCCTAAATACCATCTCAATATAACCGAAAATTGTAGGTGTCGTCCTTGAATATTGGCGGAAATTCATGTAAAATTTTAAAGCTATCAGCGTAACATTTCCGACCTCAAGTGGGGTAATAGTAATACTAAACAATATCATAACACATAGAAACCAACAACATAATTGGACCCAATTTAAAGGTCAACAACTCCTCTGGGATATACAATCAACTTCTCGGGCCTATGGCCTTCAGGAGTAAACAAATATGATATAGAAGAAAAATTTTGTAATTTTTCACAGAAAAGTCTATGTCCATTTGATCTCAAAATATTTACCTATCGTCATCAAAACAGTCATGCTTATTCGTTAGGCAGATTCCCTTCTGCATGTAAAATTACGTTCGGTGTTCGGATAAGACAAAAATAAAGTTTTTGGCCCATTTCGTCCCCTTAATATTAACGGGTCATTATCAAAAAGAATAGGGGTCTTCTGTAGTCAAACCCCATCCTACATGCAAAATTTCCTGGACAGACAGACGGATGGACACACAAGGTAGGCTGAGGTAGTGACTACGACTTGGCCTAGTTTTTCAGTTGCCAAGTCAATTCGGCGTAATTCCTCATCGAAAACTTCACCTTCATGTACATTGTTTCTAATTTGAGGAATATGAGGAATAAATATGGGTGCAGCATTACGTTGACAACTGCTGCTGAACCGTATATAACACACTTTAGAGGTCATATGCTGCTACTTCAGGTGATCCTTTTTAAAAAGAAGGATTACTGTAAATACGTGGAGAAATATTACAAAGGTATGCGGGACTTTAGTCCCTTAAAAATAAATCGAGATACAGCTGTGGACTCATAAATCGAATTTTCTAATTTGCTAGAAAATAAACATTGAATACTCTTCAGAAGAAAGCAGCAGCTAGAGTTCCTTTTAGATAAATTTTACATTACTCTCAGATGTGCCCTATAAATCGAGTATCACGTAGAGGTCTTCTATATTTGTAAATATCTTCTATAGCCACAATATGTGCGTTTATAATGCCGTCAGAGGCCTTCCATACAAAATGAATATATTTGGGAGTCTTGTGAAATATATTCAACATATAAAGGTTATGAGTCCTGCACACCGTCCTCAATATATAAAGTAACCCTTACAATTACTCAATTATTGCCCACTGAAACGCTTTCGAACTCTAGTAGATGTCTTACGAAAGAGTTTCTTCTGATTTCTTCTGGAGGGTATTCTATGTTTATTTTCTGATATAATCCCTAGAGATCTTTAAGATTAAAATATCTGTGAAAAACCTTCCTCTAACAAAAGATCTCCAAGTCCTTGAATAAATGTTTGTCGACAATCGACGCCTACGACTCTGAATTTACTTAAAGAAATAGTTTATTGCATTCACGCTTAAAACTTTGAGAGTCCTTATTGTATTGTCTTTATGATCCTTTAAAGAAATATATATATTTTTCTAAATCAAATCTTAATGTTTCTGATATATATAGCCGAGGCTTACACAAGATTTAAATAAAATAATTGACATTTCTTTAAAAAAATCAGAAACCAGGTTTAATATAACTACACGTGTTTTAAATTTATTTATTTGTTTTCCACGAAAAATGTATCTTGCCAAAGGGTGACGGATTTGTTAACAACGCGCGTTTTCAGTTACTTTTATCAACAACCAAAGTAATGGAATTTTTCTCTTCATACCCTCGTATCACCAAATGAAATTGTAAATCAAACACGTGTGGAGTCTTTGTTATTTTTTGGGTTGAATGGATTTTCTTTTCAATTATCCTTTCGCTGTTGCTGCTGCTATTTTTTGTATATTTCAATTCAGTATTTCACTTAAGTAAAGTGGATTACATACTTGAAATGAAAAATCTTGGACAAATTTGGTGTATTATATACAAAAAAAAATCCAAATGGAAATACGTGATTAATTTAGAAAAGGCAACAAAAGGGAAAATACAACAAAAAAAAAAACATTTTGAAGGGAATGTACAAAAAAAGTTGTGAGGAAAAGGGTGCGTATGATAAATATGTTAATCATACACCATGATAGTGTTTTATTTATATTAATTATACGCTATTATTTATTATTTAAAAATTTATTCCTTTATCAATTCATCGTCCTTGAGAAAATATTCTTATATAAATCGAGGACTTTATTTGGTCCTTATGATCCTTGAAAAAATATTCTTAAAAATATACACGCCTTGTATGGATGGCTTTAAAAAATATTCCTTAAAATCTACGCCTTGTATGGATGGTCCTTAAAAAAATATTCTTAAAAAACTCCACGCTTGTATGGATGGTCCTTGAACAAAAAATGTTTTTCAAACTCCACGCTTGTATGGATGGTCCTTGAAAAATATTCTTTAAAAAATCCAAGCCTTGTATGTATGGCCCTTGAAAAAATATTCTTAAAAAACTCCACGCCTTGTATGGATTGTCCTTGAACAACAAATGTTCTTTAAAACTCCACGTATAGATATCCTTTATTTGGTCCTTAAACCAATATTCTTTAAAAAAAACAATGCCTTAATCCGGCCCTTGAAAAAAATATTCTTTAAATTTTCAAGGACTATCCATATAGGTCCTTGAAAAAATATTCTTTACATTTTCAAGGACTATCCATATAGGACATTGAAAA